GTGAGAGAGAGAGAGAGAGAGAGAGAGAGAGAGAGAGAGAGAGAGAGAGAGAGTATATCATATTTTACGGCACTATCAGCACAATTCCGTCACTCGTGTGCACTTTGAGTTTGAGTATATCATGTTTTACGGCACTATTGATGCGGTTTAGGCATCTATGCATACCTGAGTTTAATCATAATGTTTTACGGTACAGCAGTCGACAAAATCATTCGTTTGTTGTTGTTTTGTTTTTTTAGTTTGAGCACATGTTTTATGGCACTGTCAACAAAATGTGGTCAACGGTATGTATTTTGAGAGCATGTTTTATGACACCATAACGACAAAGTTTGGTCCTCGGTACATTCTTTGAGTTTCAGTGTATTTTACGGCACTGTCTACACAATTTGACCATCGGTACGTACCTGAAAGTGCGGCCATATCCTGAGGTGGCAGAGGCGCGGCCGGTGGGTGGTGTCGCCATTCACTCCATTGGAAGGCTCGGAACTGACCACGGCGGCAACAACCGGTTCTGGCTCAGGCTCCGGTACCGGTTCTGGTTCTACCACAGGCTCTGGCACTGGTTCCGGTTCCTGGGCTACCTCCACAGGCTCGGGGACTGTGTGTGGACAAAGATAAATGGACAAGATAAGAACTTCTGTAAGAACTGCGGAGTCTTGATGACGCTTGAACTTTACCATTTTAATAAAGGCAAGCGCAGTACTGAGCATTACTAGTTTCCTGCTGCATACCATATTATGAGAGAGGTTGTTGTTGTAGTAGTTGTTGTTGTTGCTGTATATTGTCACACTAATCAAAATCTCGGTAACTTTGACAGCGAAGCAATAAGATCTCCCGTTGAGAGACTGGGCTGAAATGTGTCAGTTTAGTTTTTAGTAATGTGCGTGTGTGTGTGTGAGTGTGTGTGAGTGTGTGTATGTGTGTGTGTGTGTGTGTGTGTGTGTGTGTGTGAGTGAGTGTGTGTGCGCGCGTGTTTGCCTGTGTGTACGAGTGTGAGCGTATGTGTGTATGCATGTGTGTGTGTGTGTACGTATGTGCACGAGCGTGTGTGCATGAATGTGTATGTGTGTGTTTGTGTAAGGTGTGTGTGTCTGTGTGTGCTTTGCGAGTTAAAAAATGGTCGTTGTGTTTGTGTGTGTGTGTGTGTGCGTATGTCTGTGTGTGTGCGTATGTCTGTGTGTGTTTGTGTGTGTGTGT